GCAACAAGCAGCCTTTACTGCAGAGCCATGTCTCCGCCCACCTAAAAAAACTGCGATTTAATGACTCTAACAAGGATACACAATTGGAAGTGTATCACAGTAAACTGTATTCCCATATATAAGGAATAAAATATTGAAATTAGAAATGACAAAAAGATATAATCATATTCAAACCCCATAATACCATGTATCTAACAAAATAAATGCAGGATTAAAAAAAAAATCAAAATAATGCAAACTGCTACACTTCCGGATTTTTGAAGAGTTGTTTTGTTACGATATGAAGTCTCCCTTACTTAATCTATTGACTCAATGCACTTTCTATCAAAACCCCAGCAAAGTCCATTGTATAACAGGTTTATCCTAAAATTGACAGATGAAGGATAGAATCTATAATTGCTAAAACAACTGTTTAAAATAAAGAGTTGGAAGTCTCACCCTACCCAATTATAAGATTTATTACATTAAATCAGGCAGCAGAGGCAAAGAAAAAAAAAACCCATCAAAACCCCACAGTAATACCTATTTCAGGCAAGAGCCATGGAAGAATGCTGAATTACTGAACAAATCTGTAACTAGAAACGAGTATCTGTGGTAACTCAAAGTATCTCTCCCAAAGTCAACTAGCTGTGATAGTGCTTTTATCACAGAGTACATGCTTTGAAACGCCTTTTTCCAGAAGCAAAGATGCCATAACCTCTCCCCAATGGACCCAGAACCTCTGATGTTATAAAAGCTCAGACTCACTTCTAATAATGCAAAACAGTAAGAGTGCAGTAATAAGAACCTAGCAGACACTGATTACTACTTGTTACAATGCAAGGGCAGGCACATTACTATTATGGTATTCTCCAAAATTCCTAACTGCAGACTAGTCACCAGAAAACAGACAGACTGAAACCGAGGAAACTGAACAGTTTCTACCATTCAGTTCTGAAGGTGTCAAGATCATGAAAACCAAAAAGATCTAAACTTTAAAAAAATGTGTGTGTGTGTGTAGACAGATACACACACACACACACACACACACACACACACACACACACACACACACACACACACACACGCCACCTAGTGGTTTCTGAGATAAACATGACCAGCTGCATAAACCCCCCACAAAAGGAGAAGGAATTGATGGTATCTGCTTTCTCATGAGAAAGACTTAACTGGAAGAAAACATGCCAATAACTTCTAATATTACACATAATTTACAATAAAGGTATGTAGAGGCATTAAACTATAATACTTCAGTAAAATCAGTTCAGAAAATTAAGGAAGACTTAATTTTCAGAGGCTAGAGCAATGTCTATGAATGAAAAAAGGCATAATGAAACCTAGTTTTTATGTTAACTTTAAAAAGGTTAAAAGAAAAAGGAGACTGGCTTACAGGCTGTATGAGAAGATGATGTTCACCACCTTTACAATCCTGATTCTATACCATAACAAGCACCATATTACATCCATTAAGTCATTATCTTCATTATGGATTTTTCTTTTAAATAAGATTTAGATGACCATTTAAAAAAAAAAAAAAAAAAAAAAAAAAAAAGACATTAAAGGTAAGATTTCATTTTCCTTTACAGTTGAGTAAAATCCATTGTGTATATGTCCATTTCTCATCCATTCCTCAGCTGGACAAGATTGATTCCACTTCCTAGTGATCATCAACAGAGCAACAGTGAACCTGGATGTGCAAGTATCTCTGCTATAGGATATAAAAATCCGTTGATTTCCTCACCAAGGAGTGGTATAGCTGGGTCACAAGGCAGTTCTATTTAGTTTTTCGAGAAACCTCCAAGCTAGTTTTTGTACTAGTCTGATGCTCCCAACAACATATGAGAATGCTACTTTCCCCATATCAATGCCAATACTCACTGTCACTTGGATTCCTGATCAAGGCCATTCTGACTGGTGAGATGGAACTGTAAAGTGATTTTAATTTCCCCGAAGCCTAGGATGTTGAACACTGTTTACAAGCAATTTGTATTTGAGAACTTACCTTTAAGAGAAAAAAAGGTTTTATGTGCACGTATGTATGTGTGCACACATTTACATGTGTGCTCATAATGATCAGAAGATGGTGTCAGATCCTCTGGAGCTAAAATCACGGAAGACGGTAAGCATCCAAATATGTGTGCTGGGAACTGAACTTGGGTCTTTCACGAGAGCACCACTCATCCTAGCCTGAGCCATCTATCCAGCCCCACAAAGCTCACTTTTTAACTGGGTTGTTTCTTCCTGTTTAGTTCTTTGTATATTCCACAGACACTAACATTCTTTTGGATGTAGTCGACAACTTTTCTCCCATTCCGTGTGCTGTGTCTTCACTCCAGGACAGTTTCTTTTGTTGTACAGAAGCCTTCTAAGTATATGAGATCCCGTGTCAACTGCTGATCTTACTTCCTATGTTATGGGAGTCCTATTAAGAAATCCTGTACCTCTATCTACAAGTTGAAGAGTCCTCCCTGCTTTATCCTCTTTTAGAGTTTCAGAGTAAACAAAACTGTCAAACTTGCAAGTAAATGGGTTAAACTGGAAAAAAAAATCACACTGAAGACAACTAGGATCAAAAAGACAGATGCTGCATGTTCTCTCTCTTATGTGGATTCCAGCTTTGAATCATCTTTATGTTTAACTTGGGGTATATGTGAAAGCCAAGTAATTATCAACAGACCATTGGGAGTAGAAATTGAGTACGATACTAAAATACAGAGAGAATCCAAGCAGAGTGAGAATGCTGAGGGTGGAAAGGTTCAAACATGGGGGGGGGGACTTAGCTAAAATGTGCTATGAAAAAGCTATATGGAAACCTATGATCTTGCATACCAAGTTCATAAAGTAGAGGGGATAGAACGCTGGTAGCAGAAAAGAATGGGAGGTGGGGATACTGAGTTAAAGGTTTAAGTGAGGATGGGAGCGGGGGATAGGAGAAACCAGAGGGTAAGGAATGGGCTCATCAAAGTTAAGGGTGTATAAAGAAGCCTTAGGAAACACACTAGTTAATAAGCTCATTAAAAAAATAGAAAAAAAGGAGAAGTTTGGGCAGAGGTACCCTGCAAGGATAACAATACTGCTCTCAGAAGATATGCACTGATGAAGAAAATCTAAATGCCAGGCACAGAATACCTCCCTTACAAGTTATTGGTGCCCAGAATAACTTGTTACTGCCATTGTTCTTGGTTGCCCACCATAACTAAATATCAAGTCATATTTCTGATAACACTGCCCACTTTGGTTTCCATCCATTGAGAAATCAATCCCAGACTGACCAGGAAACCTTCTCCCTGCTAGCTAGCTTTCACAGTGCTGGAAGGTGCTCACACAGGCTACTGCAGGAGAATAGACATCAATGGGCCTCCTACAGTCCTCACCTGCCAGGAGGGTTGTACCCACTGATACTACAGTGGTACTAGGGGATAAACAACTGTTCTGATTGGATTGGAGGTCTGACACAGTGACCAAAAAAGAAAAAAAAGGAAAAAAAAAAAAAAAAGGAAGACTGAGGAGAGAGATCATGGGTCTTAAGGGGAGGATAGTTTACTGGTGGTGTGTCAAGTGGCCAAGCCTTAGTATTTATATCTTAGTATTTATATCTATGCCCATAGATTTATGCTGCTCTCAATCTTGGTCAGAGAATTTTCTTTTTATATTGGGCAACAGTAAGTCATCTATACCAACCTCCCCCATCCAAGGCTCAGGGAAATCATGGAAGAGTGAACAAAAGGACGAGCTGCAAGATGCTAAGTAGAGTGTGGAATGCTACTGTCATCTAGACTTGACATGCTGATACACACATCACATCACAACAGCTACGGCTGCCTACACAAGACCAGCATAAGATCAAGCCAGTCAAAACTCCCGCCAGAATAGGAAGGGGCTCCTAAGTCCCCACTCCTTAGAGTTAGTTATTCAGTTACTGGCTGGAGAGGGACGGTCACTTTTCTCTGGGTATATGGCCGATGAGAGGTTGCCCATGCCCCAGAGGGTGGTCCCACATCATTTAAATATGGTCAGGACTAATTGGACTTGAGATTATTAATAAAAAAAAGATAATGAAGACATAAATTTGGGATGAAGATAGGTTAATGGGTCCTGGAAGGTGGGCGGGGAGTTGAAGGGTGGTATTGGAGAGTGGTCAGATCAAAATTTCATGTACACTGTATATGTGCATGAAATTTTCATAAAAGCTTTTAATGTTAAGGAGGATATTCTTGAATAATGAAAACAAAACAGGAGTTAAGGTAAGCCACTCCACTTTATACAAACTGAGACAGAGACTGAGAGGCAATGCAGAGGTTTGGGTAGAATGTTAAAAAACCAAAAACAAAGAAGCCAAAGGTCTGGGTTCTCCTCCACAGCTTAAAGTATGCTATTCCAGAAAAATCTGCTTTTTAAACTCCTATGCCCAGATCTATAAACTGACACAATACAACTAAAGATTCCCTTCAAATCCCACTATGCTGCTGACAATTGACTTAAGAAAAATATTCCTAAATCCTTAATAAAAAGTGATCTGGGTGATGTCAATAAATCAGGAAACAAATAACCATTCTCAGCATGTTTCTTGGCATATAATTAGCACTTCATAAACATGGACTACAAGCACAAAGCAGATTTGGGGAGACGGCAAGCCAGGGAAAGGAGTAAGAATGAAAAGGAAGAACACACACAGCCTGGTATGGAATACTTTCTAAAACAAGTTCTGACATAGTTATATGTTCAATACCATCCTGACTCTGCAACATCCTCTGACGGGAAATCCTACTACAAAACCTTTTGACAGAAAATGAAAACAGTATTTCTTCACACTCATTTTTATTAAACAAATAAGGCTGGTAGTGGAACAGTTTTTATTTAATGCATAAACATATAAGTCCCTTTATTAGAGAAATTATACTTATTGGTAAATATGGTCAATGGTCACATCTATGTATTAATTCTTTAAAAATCAGAAGCAGTAATTAGGATACACTCTATGTCCTCTTCACTACATTGTAAAGTGTCTTGTGTAGTCATATTCTATTGTTGGAATGACAGCTTGTACAAATTTCAAAAAAATTAGAAGATACCTGAAGATCTTTAGCTAAGGAAAATAAGATTTGTAGATAGTATTGTTCTAAATCCATAGTAATTATCTATCTCTTTTATTAATTTGTGAGAAAAATGTATGATTAAAATCTTATATTGCATCTATTAAAGTCATGAAAATTTGTATCTACTTAACACAGGTTTTCTACAACTGACTGCTTAGCCACCTACTCCAACATCTGAGTTTAAAATTTCTTAACAAGAAGTTCATACATGTCGAATTACTTCAGTATTTATAAGGACAATTTTGTCTGGTTTAAAACTCATGTATATTAAAACTCATTCACTTACTTTGCACCTTTACTGCTTGCAAATTTTCTAGAATTTATACAAACTTAAAATGAAACAAGTATACAAACACTGCAGCAAATGAAAAACAAACCAAAGACAAATACTTCATAAGGGACTATGTAGGACACACAATCAACAACCACAGAATGAGCTATATTGTATTATTTTCATTTAAAAAAATGTTGAAGTGATTTTCTTCTGTTGGACTTAGAAACATTATGAGTTTACTAACTTTCAATAGGAAACAAAATTACTCTATCATGGATCACCTGTAGTATTCTAAGCTGCCACCTAGCCTTCAACATAGAGATAAATGTGAAAGATAATGTACAGCAAGATTCCAGAAATAAATCTTGTTGGACTGAAAGCTCCTGGTATTAGTTGCAGTATCAAATCAACCCAAAGTTCTCCTACAGAACACGGTAATAATACAGAGGTTACCACACCTTTAATGCATGAACAACCTTTGTCTCTCACTGAATGGAAAAATCATAAAATTCAATACAAATCTATGTTCAAATCAATTCAGGCTACCTGGCATGTTGATGACTGATTATGAGTACTCTAATGACCCCTATATGGACACACACATCTCAGGATATGAGTTGTTTAGACATTAATATTAATTTACTCCTCCTATCCACCCCAGAGAACTGCGTAGGAAAGCTAGAATAAGATGCTTTTCCATAGGAGAAAATTTTTAATGTTGTATTTTACTTTTAACTAGCCTGTTTAATGTGAATTCTTTACTTCAGGGAGGCCTCAGGTTGACACAACCTTAACCTTACCATCACCTGATGAGATCACAGTTGTGTGTTAACCTTAACTACCTGACAGAAACACACATTCATGCTAAACATTATGTCTTTAACAAGGCAGAGCTAACGGGCATATAGATACAGTGTCTAGCTATTGAGCATGGCCTACTTTTCATAGTATGACACAACCCAGATAAATTAGACTTTCACTAGGACTTTCATGAATGAGGAGCTAAAACAAATTACAGGTTCTGTCATGAAGGTTACACTAAATTTCCACAACGAACAAACAAAACTCCACAGGAGCCACTTGCCACCAATCACATATACAGGTAAGGATACATATGAACGCCAAGCTCTCCCCCACCTTCTGCAACTGTCTCAATAATTTTCTTCATCACTTCAGCATGCCTGAAAGCAAACAATAAACCTTATTAGCATGGAGGAATTCTATCAAAATAGGTTTTATTCATAAACAAGCCAAAAAAAATCCTATGGTAATTGCTCATGAATTAATTTTTAATATAAAATAATTGTACTATAAAACACTCTTCCTCCATTGCTGAGCCACAAAGACTCTTTCATTGGAGTAAGTATCCATTTCTAAAAGGTATAATCATCACAATAAACACAATGGCATCAGTCGGCTTTCTAATAATGGAGGCCGAAATCACATGGGAAAACTCTGCCAATGGTAAATGTGAAGCTATGGTTGTTTGCTCTGGAAACATAAATATCAGGTTATACAAATCAACAAAAGAAAAAAGCTAAGAGAGCTCCAGTCTTGTGATGGTAAATGTTTGTTGTTATTACTACTGTGTAAGTGTGTGTGAGTTTGAATGTGGGTATGTGCATGTGAGGTCATAGGACTCCAGTCTCTCCTTCCCTAATGGGGTTCAGGCTTGTGTAGCAAGAGCTTTTACCCACACTAAGTCATCTTACCAGCCTCTTATATGTTTAAATATTTATTTAGCTTAGGAAAAAACTGTAACTGGAAGGTTCAATAAAAGCTAAAATTCAGAGCCAAGCTTGTACCTTCTCTTTGTACTAATGGGTGTTATCTAATTCTACTTAAAGAAAAAATTTTGGATTTACAAGACAGTATCATCTCAAGATTTTTGTCCAATGCACACATGACAGACGAAAAACCTCTCCTAGGCTGCAAATTGAGTGACATCAAATTAATCTGATATATAAACTAAGAAACATCAAAAGACAAAACAAACAGCTTTTTATACATTTCCTAGCTTATTCAATGCTATTTCAGGTCTTACAAAGAACCCTTCAGAAACAGAGGAAGTTCTTCGGAAAACAAGAATATATGACTTGCACAGTCTAAGGCAGTCCTTGGAGAAGCCTAAAAATGTCCCCATTTTTTGTATAGGGCCTCAGATTTTTAAATTTTATCTCATCCTCCTTTAATTTAATTATTTGTTTTATTAAAATGTTTAATGTAATTATCAAGTACTTGTCTGTTCTTAACAGAGTAAAACTCATGCCAGACAGACATATTCCCTTCAATTAGCACCTATTAAAACATCAAACTGTGAGAACAAACAGACTGACTCTTAAAAATGAAAGCCTTTAGATAATTTAAAGTTAAATGTAGGCCACCTGGTGCTTATTATAGGCTGTGTTCTCACTACACAGAAAGGGAAGACAGAGTAAATCTACCTAACACATTAGCCCAAGACCTGTGCACGGGCATATAAATGGAGAACCAGAAGAAAAACAAACACAAAACAACAACAATGAACTCCCATGATCAATGAATCCTAATGAATTACTTTTCATAGAAATAGTAAAATGCTTGATATAAATAAGCGGAAAAAGTGAAGCAGGCCTTCCATGAGGTAAAACGTTCAGCAAATAAAGAAACTGTGTAAAGTAGTGGACACCATCAACAGTTTCTGGCTTTGGTGGTTTCTGAGGCAGGGTCATGCTATGCAGCCCAAGATGGGCTAGAATTTGCAATCCTCCTGCCCCAGCGTCCTAAATAAGAGTGCTGGAATTACAAGTGTAACCCACGATGCTCGCCTAAATAAATTTTCTCTTGAAAAGTTATCTAATTTTTCAATGGATTATTAGCATTCTCATGAATTTTTCAGTGAATCAAGAATATTGTTATAAATTATCAATCCAAAGAAACAAGCATGTTGTTTTTTTGTAAGGGAAATTCAAAACAAATCATGTATCTAGGCTCAGCTTCACTTTACTCGGCCTCATGAAAACACACTGACAGAGAGAATGCTAAAGCACAACATTCACTTGATGTGGGAAGGCTAAAGAAAAGACTTGCTAAGCAAAGAATAAAGGGGTGTAGAGACTCATCTCCTCCCACTAACCAACAAGAGGAGATAAGGAGGTCACCCAGAAAAAGCAGTAAGTTAACCTCACAGCCCACACCATGAAAAGATGCACTCACAACATGTACAGCATGTCTAAAAGATGAGTGCTGAGTCCACAGCAGAACTGCCCAAGCTACTGTCTAAAAGGAGAAGATCAATAGATCTATAACTAAACACAGAAACTAAAATTAAGTTCTGAATACTACATTTAAAATAAGTAAGTAATGTTTATCTTCCTTTCTCGTGGATATTACACTAATCATAAAAAGAATATTTCTAAAGATGAAAGAGACTTTGCTTATAAAGTAAATTTTCTGGTACTAATGTTTACACACCCCCAAAAATCTCATGAAGTTTACACATACAAACAACACGTGTTCTCTCTCTTTCCCCACACACATGCACACACCCAGACCTGCATGGGTGAACTGAACACATAGGAGGTGGTGGGAGATGAGGATGGTTTTCAATGGTCACTGTTTTCTTCACATGATCTTGACTGATGTCTTCATACATGTGCTCAACTGTTAAAGGCTGCCGTTGCTGAAAGCAGAAAAAATGCTCTGAAACCACTATTTAAGCTTTTCGCCTACACCTGTTTATCACCTTATATCACTTGTAATTTACAATTTCAGATTATTTAGAATGACCAGATCATTTGAGAAAGGATTCAGAATACTCAGGCTCTGTGACAGGAGCCATCACATAATGTTACAAAGATGCCACAAGCAGGTAAGTTATAGACATCAATTTTATAATCTTAAGAATTTATCCCTTAGGCCCATTTCTTTTTTCTTTTCTTTCTTTTTTTCCTTCCCTTTGACAGTCATAAAACGACAAGTTAAATGAGTTGGTCTTATTTCAATTATACTTTAATTCAATATTAGCAGAATAAAAGTGGTCAGGGAAATTTACATATTCCACAGATGTAATCCTGGCAAAATACATGGAACTCTACAGAGTTCAACTTCTTACACTTTAAAGGGATAAGCTCAGAAGAAAAGAGTCAGGAGTCAATATGCAACATATTGTTTGTGTTCAATACTTAGCAGAGTCATACTGAATCGTTTATTCTAAATGTGAATCAAGTTCAATATCATAAAACTGTAAAACAATGACTTCAAAAATTTGGAAGACCATATATACTCATGGATCTAATAAAGAAACTGGATTAGATTCACCATTTTAAAGCATTTACTTTACATTTCTTTTCTATTTTTACCTCATCATAGCCAAACAACCATAGCCGTGGTGTCTGGTAATATTTGTCATAAGTGATGTACAGATCATAAGTTCTTGTTTGCAAAATAGCATCTTCACCTCCAGCATCAGCTTTAGTTTTACAAGCTTCCACTATTTTCCTCGTGTCTAGGGTAGCCTGTTATACAATAATGGGAAAAAATTCAGAGTCATTAAAAATTATTTTGAAAGACCATTATTAATATTAAAAACACTAACTCCAAGTTCACTCATAAAATCATCTTAAAAATTTACAAACCTCATCTGTTTCCAACAATCCACTCTCTTCATATTCTTATATGAAAAAGAAAAAGGAAGAAAAAACGTTAACTGAGTTAAACTTAATGTTTCAAGACTTAATCTTTTCAGTGTGATATATTATCAGCAAAGTAGTACAAGTTTTTCTTCTTCTTGAAATTGAACAGACAGATTTACTACAGCCTGTAAGTCATTCTAATAAATCCCCTTAGATGGATGGAAAGATAGATAGATAGATAGATAGATAGATAGATAGATAGATAGATGATAGATAGATGATAGGTAGCACTGTGACACCATGACAATGGCCATGATAACTGAGATGCTTACAAGTGACAGCCATATAGCCTACAGCATGAATATGCTGGACAAAGGGATGATTTATATATCATGGATGAAAGACACTGGACAGCATAAAATGTCATCATTTTACTCAGAAAGCATGCAATTTAAAACTTACACCTGTCATTTTTCTGGAATTATCTTTCCATTTAATATTTTCAAGCCTCAGTTGATGGCAGGAAACCGAAACCACTGAAGTCAAGTTATAAGGTAACGACTGCAGCTAGCTGCCTACAGTGTTCTTCAAAGTTATGCATGATTTCAGTTCCACTGTGCCCAGGGGTTCCACCTCAGTGAACTCACAGGCCACTAATGAACCATTGTGACTTTTTGCTGCACCCTTGGAACGCTTTCTTTCCTTGACTTCCACATGACCTTTTTCTGCCTGTCTCCCAACTCGGCTGCTGCTTCTTCAGTGTTCCCTACTCTGCTTCTCTCACCAGATCTACTTAAAGAAAAAGAAGCAGCATTCTGAATACTTTAGTAACCTAAGGAAGAAAGAATTCAAGCCTGGGACTTCATCTTTTCTCTAACACACTGCTTCTAACGACAAGCTCATCAGATTCAAAGATTTCCCGGAATTGATTCCCTGTGTTCGGACATGGATACCTAACTATTTTGCAACTCCACTGGATGACTAATGAGCACTGTAAATCATATATCTAAAACTGACCTGACTCCTTTAATGCAAATTACTCTCAGTTAATGGCATTTCTCCAAACATTCAGTCAAAATTGATTTAGTCACATTTGACTACCCTGCCTTCACATTTCATATCTAATCCAGCATCAAATCTCTTTGATCCTACCCTCAAAATATTCCCAGAATTTTGTTCTCACTGCTACCAATATTAAGATCCTAGATTAACTTACCATTATTTATTTTTTTATTTTATTTTAGTTTGGCAATGTTATCAAAAAGAGCTTCCTGCTGTCTTTTCCCTTTCACTACTGCCTATTCTTGGTTGTCAATTTGACTACATCTGGAGTTAACGAAAACCCAAATGGCTGGGCACACTTGTGAGGGATTTTTTTTTTTTTCTTAATTAAATCATTTGAAGTGAAAAGACTCACTTCTTCTAACCCAGATCTTTGAGGTAAGAGGATGCACCTCTAATGTGGGCCACGCCCTCTGCTGGCAGACTATATAAGGACAGGAAGAAGGAAGCTCCTTCCCTGCCTTCTTGTTCTCACCATGACAGCAAGTCCATTCCTTCACTGGCATTACAGTCTACTTGTTCAGGATTCTGGTGTATACTGAAAACCAGCTGAGACATCCAGCCTCATGGAATGAACAACTACTGGATTCTCAGATCTTCCATTCATAGGCAACCACTGTTGGACTAGCTGAACTACAGCCTGTAAGTCATTCTAATAAATCCCCTTTAGATAGATAGATAGATAGATAGATAGATAGATAGATAGATAGACAGACAGACAGACAGATGATAGGTAAGTAGGTAGATAGACAGGCAGGCAGACAGACAGACAGACAGATAGATTCTATAAGTTCTGTTACTCTAGAAAACCTTGACCAATACCACCCCCAATTCTCCAGTCACAGTGATTCTGTTAAAATGTTATCTCTCCATTTTATTTAGAAAATGACTTCAGTTGCTTCTTCCACACTGCATCATCTAGCTCCCTTTCTTTGCGAACTCCACTCTACCTTCTTCTCTTACTTCCTCTAGCTATGGAATACTTTATATAAGCCACACATTTCCACCTCAGGACCTTTATACTCTTCTCCAACATAAATAGCCTGTCCACTCCCTTCATTACAGGTATATTCTCAAAGTATTTCCCTTAACCAACTTAGTAAAATATTGAAATAGTCCTCCCCAAGATATCCTACTCTCTTGTCTCATCTTTCTCTTTTAACACTGAAAAACATCTAACACATTATATCTTTTATCTATTTTCTGTATTCTTATCTAGTGAAAATAAGAATTCCAAAAGATAGTATCTGTTTTATCTCCAGCACTAAACTGTATCTCAACACATATTTATTTAAAAAAAATAACTGGGAGGGAGGCTGACAATGATAAAGTAATATTTAACAGCTGTGCAGAAGAATAAAAACCTTAGCAGAAGGCATAAAGTTTGCTAAAGGGGAAGAAAAATCGGTGTCATAAAAATCAAGGGAGAAAAATACAAGGATGTGTTCAAAAAAATCAAATAATATGGAGACACTAAATACAATAAGTCTGTATTTAACAAGGAGGTCATACATGGTGATAGCAACTCCTCCATCAATTTTTAAATAGCTAAGATTTCATTTCTATGAAAGATCTCGTAAGAATGAAACAGAGCCGGCTAGAGAGGTAGCTTAATGGTTCAAAGCACTGGCTGCTCTTGTAGAGGACCAGGGCTTGGTTCCCTACACCTACATGGTGCCTCACAACTATCTACAACTCTAGTTCCACAGGATCCAACACCCTTTTCTGATTTCTGTGGGCACTTCATAAACATAATGTACATTCATACATGCAAGCAAAAACATTCAAACACATAAAATAAATGTAAAAAAAGAAACAGAAATTTTGAATATTCATGTGTTTAGAAAGAATTCTATTACTGTTATGCTATGAATCTGAAACATCATCCACTACAGGTTTGTATTTTGAGTGTTTCCCTTCTGATAGCACTGTTTTGGGAGGTTGTGAAATCTTGAGGTGGCAGGGCCTGATCTGTAGAACAAGTCAGTAAGGGTGGGCTTTTGAAGGCTATTGTCTAGCCTTGGTTTTAGCTGCTCTGTTTCCTAGTCTGCTACTATGTCAACAGACATTTACCATATGCTCCTCACATCATCAACAGGGTCAACTCCACCATGTCCTTCCCCTTAATGACGAACTAAAAGCTCTTAAAACTGAACCAAAATAGGTCTTTCCTCCCTTGATTGTCATGTATCATGGTGATATGAAAGGAACTAATAGAATGTTCTGTTAGAATGATTCGGTTTGATCCTTTGTAGTAATGACTAACCAAAATACCTCCTTCCTGCTCTTGCAAATTCATGGTATCTTTTCTCATTAACTGTTGTTACATGCATATATATATATATATATATATATATATATATATATATATGTGTGTGTGTATACACACACACACACACACACACACACACACACACACATATTGCTTCATCCATATAATGTTACTTATAAAGTAGGTTTTCAAGGCTATTTGTAATGGATAATCAATTGGAGTGCTCTTCCCTAAAAAAGACTATTTCTCCCATTATCAGCATTCCTTAGTTGTCTGTAGCTTTGTGTAGGGTTGAGCCTCATGATCTCCCCCCTCCCATTCACTTCAGTAGGTCTATTGTTGTCCTTGTTCAGCTCACATTTGGGCAGTCATGATGGTGAGACTTTAATATCAGATGGAGCTTCTGATATTACTAGAAGACACAATCTCACAGCAAACTCCCTAATCCTTTGGTTCTTACAATCTTTCCAACCTCTTTGGCGATGTTTCCTGAATATTAGATGTGGGAGCTGTTTTGTAGATGATGGTACTTACCTGGTAACCTGGAGGTTATTTCACAATGGAAAGAACAAAAGGTGATTCTACATAGCTCCAAAGTCCCCACTGAGATTCACTCTCTTACCCAGGCATGATACACACCTGTAATCCCAGCAGCACTCACAAGGCTGAGGCAGCAGAATCATAAATCTTAGGCCAGCCTGAACTATATAAGGAGATTCTGCTTAAAAACAAAACTACGGGAGCTGGAGAGATGGCTCAGAGGTTAAGAACATCGACTGCTCTTCCAGAGGTCCTGAGTTCAATTCCCAGCACCCACATGGTGGCTCACAAGCCTCTGTAATGAGATCTGGCGCCCTCTTCTGTATACATAATAAATAAATAAATTAAAAAAAAAAAAAAAAACTACTATCTTTCCAAATCTAAAAGCGCAGGACTGCAGTCCTAACACTTAGAAGACTAAGGTGAGAAGAATTTCTGGAGCTCAGATGTTTTAAACCCTACCAAGTCAATTAATGAAACGCTATCTACTGTATCCTCCAGAATTAGATTTATGACCAATGGTCCTAGTAGAAATAATGCTCTCAAAATCATGTTCTAAGTAAAATAGAAGAACCTAAAATCAAAGTGCCCTGATCTGACAAAATTTAAAATAAAACAAAATGTTCACTAGGCTCTTAACTGTTAAACCAACAGAAGAGAAGTCTTAATCCATGTGAATTAACACTATGCCAGAATCAACAGTCTAACGGAAAGAAGGCCAATCTAAAATAGTAATACCTTCCATGTCTGCAGCTTCCCCTTCATCTTCCTCTTCTTCCTCATCACACAGTGCTGAGCAATCTTGAAGTTTTATACTGTCCTTTGAGATTAATTACATTTAAGTTATGCAAGTGTATAGGAATTAGCTCAAACATTAAACACACTTAACATAAAATTTTTATCAGCAATATTTATTTATTTCCTTCACAAACCTTGTGAAGACTAGAAAGCACATGAAATGCACAGTCTTGTTCTTGACACTAGTGATACAAAAGAAAGAAAAGAGACTCAGTCTCCTCCCTCTGACTATCTGACTGTGCTTTGTCTGTGAATAGTTCTACAACTGGGGGTCACTTAGTGATGAGAACACATTCTGGGAATGCACTGCTAGGGGATTTCACCATGTACGACCACAGAGTGTAACTAAGGTGGCCTTGACATTACTAGAAGATACCATCTTGCAGAACCTCCAGCATTAGTGTAGTCATCTCATAAACATTCACAATGAACACAAAGCACAAAGGTAAGTAATGTAAAATTAAGTGTCATCTAATCAGGCAGTTTATGGTCCCTAGAAATTCACATACCAATGACAATGACAAACTCATAAATAAATCACTGGAAGTAACATACTAAGTAGTGTGGTTGAGAAGCATCAGAGGACATTATAATAAGCAGTAAAATCACCTTAGGTAACCATTTAAGTTATTTGAGCCAATTGAACTCTCACTACAATAGTATATACATTTGTAAACATTTATTTTGTGTCCACACGGGTATGGAAGTCAGAGGACAAATTTTAGGAGTTGGTTCTCCCTCCCACCATGTGAGTTCTGGGGATTAAATTCAGGTCATCACATCTAGCAGTAAGCATTTTTACCCACTGAGTCATCTCACAGGCCCAAAACAGTACATTTATGGGTAACTAGTCCATCAGCATTACAAAACTAGTTCAAAGTTATATTAACCTGCCTGCTTACAATTTAGGGAACAACTATACATTTATAAACTAAATACATTTGTAAATTAAAATGAAGTATAAACCACTATTATATTCTAACTTACTAACAATATATGAATTAATCAAAAGTTATCAAACCTTACAATTATAACATTATTTTCAATCAATTTATTAATAATATTGTCTAAGAAAGAATAATGCTAATAAGAGCCTACTTAGGGTTTATTTACCACTAGATAAATAAAATCAAATAGCATACATCTAGTCAAAAATTAGTACACTGCTTCCTCCTTTAGAACAAGAAAGTTAAGCACCAAAATAACCATTACTGTATTTGTTTAAAAATTGTCTTTAGGCAGGCCTGCTGGCTTCAAACAGGTAATTCCAGCTACTTGGGAAGCTATAGCAGGCAGAATTCAAGTTCAAAGTTTCTCTGGGCTACATGGAAAGCTGTAGGCCAACACGGTTGACACATTGAAACCCTGTCTCAACTCAGAGAGTAAAAAAGAATGTTAAGATGTTATTACCAGTAATTTTACAAAAACCAGAATAAAATTGCTTAGAATAGACTTCAAAATGTAATACTAATACAACATTTGCACTTTCTAATCAGAAAACGTACCCCTCACAAATGCTCCACTTACCGATCTACTATTTCATGTACTTAAACTAGTAGCTTATTGCAATTTGTAATAGTTACAAGCCTGATGACCTGAGTTCCATCCCTGGGACTCACATGATAGAAGAAGAGAACCAACAACCCAAAGTTATCCATCATACTTCTACATGTTTGCTGTCACACACACACACACACACACACACACACACACACACACACACACACACACAAATAATACTAAAAAGTAAATAAACAAATATAATTTAAAATTCATATGTATGAAAACTAGGTCATTGACTTTAGAAATGTTAAGCAATACCTTGCTTTCCAGTGTAATCTCCTTAACTGTTTCAGTAATTCCTGTAATGCCTGTTTAAAATTCAGCAGGAAAAAAATTAACTAAAATTAAGCTACAAACATTCCATTTACTTGAATAAAACAATATAAAACATTTCATTAAAATTCTCACAACTCTGAAATAGTGATACATTAACAGAATCTTTACAAATGAATTTTTACAAGAAATCCCAAAGATACCTCAAAAACATCTCAAAAAAAAAGCCAAAAGAATTCTAATTTAATGGTTTACCTGTATTACCATAACTTATCCTATTCAATTACCCATTTACAATTGTTCATTTGAATGTTTTTCACAATACACACTAAAATCAAGAGATGATATGACTTTTATTTACATTTTAATTAGACCTTCACCAAAATCAGGTTTTAGTTATATTGACAAACTATTTATTTGCTTCAAATATCTTGGACATCTCAATGTAGTAAGACCACTCCACACTCTTATGGACCTTTTTACTTTACCAAGTATTTCCATGTCTTATTAATCCTTACAAAATCCACCTATAAAACAGAGTAACAATTCCTCCCTATGAAGAAATGAAGTTGACAGACAGGTCAAATGAGCTGCTTGAGGCTCACAGCACTTAGGAGGAAGTTGGGATTCAAATCCATACAAAGAGACCTTGGTTACTTATTCTCACTGTATTCACTAGGCACATCCTCAGAACCTGTTGTCATAGGAGGGTACAATGCAGATAAACAGCAACCACACCACACCATGGCCCTGCATAACATTCTTGTCCCAAGAACCTATCAGAGTTCTTAAATGGACCGTTTAAGCAGATGGGAAACTCAGTAAAATGAGAGTACCTAAAGTTACTACAGACCAAAAGATCCTAAATTCAGAACGTATTTAGCTCCTAGTAAGTACAGCATATTTTCTTAATTTAAACTGGCATGCCTTTAACATTCCTCAACCAAAAGATGACAAGTTCACCTTCACAAATGGAAGATAGCATACTCCAAAGACCAGCACTACAAATCTTTATTTTGTAACACTTTGGCTACAATCCTACAATAGATATGGTCAATCAAGATGATAAAACCCAAATCTTAGCCAATCAAACCAATAATACAAGAGTATTTACTGAACCCAGAACATAAAAAGAAACCTCATCCACCTGCCAAAATACAGTAATGCAACAGTATACCATTAAACCCAAGCCCCAGGCACCAACTGGAGAAGCTTCTTTCTGCAATAGGAAGCTGTCCTACAGATTCACGATGGTCAAAGTGCAAAGACTACGTGACTATTAAGTGCTCAGTCCTGAACAGGACGTCTTTATCAACACATTCAGGGTTCAAGGAACATCAAGGAAGATGTGGGGAAAAGAAAGGAAAAGCTGGTGGACAGGAAGGAATGCTGAGAGATGCTGCTCTCTGGACATGAAATGGACAACGCACTCATGAACTCACAGAATCTGTGGTTTTCTGCACCAGGCCTACGTAACATTAAGCCAGGCAATCTTAAAGCATGGAGGGTGCTCATGAGGTTCCACCCACAGTCAGTACTACTGTATGATGACTGCTTAGGGAGGTAGAGTAAAGCTGTCTGTCTGTTATGGAGGGAGGTGCCATTGGTGAGTTCCCCAAGCTCTGGTGGATGGTCCCACATCCATGCATATGTGGTCTACACTAATTCAACTCAGTGAGTCATTTAAGAAGAAATGGGAGTGGGAGGAGAGATGGCTTAGAGGTTAAGAGCACTGGTTGCTCTTCCAGAGGACCCAGGTTCTGCTCCCAGCACACACATGGTAACTAACAACTGTTTGAAACTCTTGTTCTAGGGAATCCAATATCCTTTCTTCTGGTCTCCCCAGACACTCCACTGCCTGCACATAGTACAGACATACATGCAGACAAGACACACACACACACAAAATGAATAACTAAAAATGACAAGGACATGTGAATTTTCAAAAAGGACATGAAGATGAAAGGGAAACATGTTGGGAGAAACTGAGGGAGTGGGGGCAGGGAATAGATATGAACGAGATATAGTATACACATGTATAAAATTGTCAAAAAGATAATTTTTAAAATATCATTAATTTTAAAAGTATGGCACAACTGACAAAGGAAAAGAAAGCTCAAATAATTCTAAACACAGTCACACTCTAGCATTGTGATGTTTTATTCTGTCAACCTATTGTAACAGCCAGATGTCTGGTTGTTAATGTTGTAATAGCCAGATGTCTGGTCAAAACCTAATCCAGAGGTTGTGGTAGAGGTACTTTTTAAGAGATGATGAATAAATATTAAAACCAGTTTTAAATAAAGCAGATCATCCTTCAAAAAGTAGGTTGCTTGTATCCAATCAACTGAAGGAGGACAGAGGAAAAGAAGGCCTGGAGACTGCCTGTAACATCAACCCTTCTATTCTGGTGGAAGCTCCACCTCAACTCCTCCTCCATCTCTTTCCCTAACCCCTCCCCCAAAGCCCACCAAACACAGCTCCTCCCCCAGAGAAGCTCAAGACCACTCCCACAGGGTATTTAAACTGCATCCCAGGAGGGGGCGGGGCAGAGAATCACCCAGGAATGATTTATCCATTAAGCCAGGGCTTTTTCTAATTGGGTCTGATCTGGATTGCTGCATCGGCGGAGGGGCCTATCTATAGGGGTTCAAAAACCCTGTCACCTTCCTTGTTTCTCAAACCTGCTGGAGCATACAAAATTCATTTGTCATATAAGCTAGTTCCTTAAAATAAATCTACTTATATTACAGTGCAGTGGTGGTCCTGGAAGGATAGGCACTAGCGATTTAAAATTTCCCCAAGACATTCCATCCAGGGAAAGAACAGGCTTAAAGTCCTGGCTATGGAGAAAGAGTTCACTCAGGCCTGACAATTTATCACAGCTAAATCTATATTATATTAAATTTCCTGGACTTTGTTTCATCTTTTCTATAAGAGAAGGTAAAAAGACATGTTCTCTCCCAGGTCTAGTAAAAACTGTAAATGAGCCCATTCCTATACCCCATGGTTTTCCTCTAACACGCCAGGAAACTTCAGTGTCTCCTGGCATACCTATTCTTACAGCAATGTCAGTATACACCCTCTATCAGTAATATCCCTCTAAAGAACTGACAAATTCAGGGGCCAATAATAGAAAAAAGCAATAATGAAACCCCAACGAGGTGCAACAAGGAAAATTGGCTTCAGTTGGGAGCACTGCCTTATCCTAAGATACAGCTTAAAGTTATAATTGTACAAGTATCTCTAATGAACATCAGAATTTATGCATTAAATCAACTGAAGGACAATACTGTTATTTTCCATAAAAAACAAACAAACAAAAAACGAAGCTACTTGTTCTGTATCCTTAAGCAAACATTTTTAGATGTCAGATTTTTGTAGACTTTTGCCAATCTAAGCATACTAATACCTACTCAGCTCTGTGCACTATGATCCTATAAGTATGTTCTTGAAGTTTAGGATAGTGCTTCTGAAATAAAATACAACTAGAAATTTCTCTAGCTTTTTAGAGGAAACCACACTAAAAATAATCATTCCAGTCAGTCAACAACTACCAATGTGTGCATCTTCCAGCCATGAGAAAAACTAATGAAGAGCACTGAAACTTCTTTGAAAGATGAGGGGAGGGGCTAACAGCATCAATCAGTCAGGGGAGAATGACTGAAGGAACTGATTTAAGATGATGCTGAGCCTACCACTTCCTCTAGGCTTTAACACAAGAGATTCGGGGCAAACTCATATGCACAGGCAGTGCTTTTTATTGTACTTACTTTCTCCTCTATATCGCAATAATGGAAATAAATGAATATTTCAAACTGCAACTGAAGCAGCAGATACTACTTTTTCAGGGTGAAGTCTTTGGGGACAAACTTGCATCTTATGTATCCTTTTTAAAATTTTAAATCAAACCTATTATAAAAAATGATGAAAAACTTCAAAATAATGTATATTAAATAGCTGCCATTCTGTATACTTCTCACCTGTGTTGTGGTATGTATCTACCCATCCCCCATCACCATCATCTTCTTCAATGATAGCTTCCAACTCATCTGAATATTCCATCTGTTTACATCGTTTGTAGCATGGAACTATTAAAAAAAAGTCAAATACACTGATAATAAATACATCAGAAAAAAGAACTTCTATCATAAAAAAAAAAAAATTACCAAGTGAACCCTTCCCTTCCAATGACACATCATGATCTCGCTCCATTAATCCTTCCCCAGTCTGCTTTATCAGAAGACAAATAAAAAGGGGTTTGATTTAAGCATCTCTGTCTTCCTTTACCAAGATGATTTGTGAGAAACAGCTGGCAAAAGCCAGATGACAGTGCTCAGTTCCAAACTAATGAATAATATTTCACACTAACAGTTCTGGTCTCAAAATATGCAAACACCACCTGTCATACCGAGAGGTGGTAGAGGTGACCTCTGGAATACAAAGCTAAAGTAATTGTCAATATGGATTTCATAATTCATATTTAAGTTCTGGTTATTCACAAAGGATAAACAGATTAAAATTCAACAAACTGCTAAATTTTACTTCCTAATACAACACAGGTGCCAAAATTTTCATATAGGTGTATCAATTAACAAGTACTATTATTTCATAAACCTATACTTGATATTATAAGGTATAAACATGATGCTCAAGACACTTTTAATTTCTTGATTCAACAACCAGGATATAAATTATCAATCTTAAAAATAAATACACTGTAAAAAGGAAATAACTGCTGGGATTTTTTTGTTTGTTTGCTTTCTAGCACTGTATATCAAACACGGGGCTTTGAGCTGAGCAATGAGCAAGCCCTCTACCACAGAGCTGGATCCCCAACACTTGGCAATTTTGTTTCTCAACAGGTGAAAACATGGTCTTCTTACATAGCTCAGGCTGACCCTGCACTTACTACGCAGCCCAGCTAGCTCTCTTGCACCATATGTGGACCCTATGTGCAGGACAATGCTCACAGGCACCATGCCTGAAAAACCTGCTATTAATACATATGAGCTCCCTTCCCAGGTTGAGTTAAATTAGAACAGAAGCCAATGAATTATTACACGACTATTTTAAGACTATCACAATCTTCTTCTGATGTTTTAAAAATCAACTTCAGAAATAAGATGACATCTATTTTAAGAGTTTTTGTGCCTGTGGGTAAACCTGCGATGGCACAATGAATGATAAAAACTTTAATTTTGATCTTTTCTATGTCAAAGGTGGGATCTATTTAATTTACATAAAAACACACAAACATTAAAATCAAACAGCTAAATAAATTTTGATTATAAAATCAACTTTAAAAAACTAAGAGGAATCTAAGTTTCCATGGGGACCTCTTCTTCACTATTTTGACAATTAGATCTTTTTGGTAAAAAGAACTAAAAACGAAGGGATAAAATCAACTGGAAAATATTCCTGAGACAGAAAACCCAAAGCTCCATGGAATTTTCGTATTTCCATCTATAAGAAGCTTCAAGCATAACTTCAGGCATAAATTAGGATAAATAACTGTAAATGGGATTTTGTTGTTTCAATTTACTGTGCAAATTTTACTAATACATACAATGATATAATGCTTACCATTTTTGGTTACCAAAAATTGTTTCCCTGTTGGTAGATATGCCTTCACTTTCAATTCTTCCCCTGTAGCCCTTTAAAAACAGTGAAAAGCACCAAAATACAAAATATTTTAAAAGTCAATATATAAGAGAAGATATCACATGTAAAACTCAAGACTACAAAATCTGCATATCTGTGGAAATTGTTTTAGGACTTTTTAGGGAAGTCTGCCATTAAGTAAAGGCATAGAAAAGCATGTACTAGCATGAGTGAAATATATTAGGAGATGCAGACAGAGGGGATTTGTATTAAATATTAGGCAAAAAAAAAATGGTAGAATAATAGAACTAGGAAACTATTGTACTTGCCTCTAAACAAAAAGAAAATGCAGCTCTTGCATAATCTATTCCATCATACAATCTGCCAGACAGTTAATATCAAAGTACTGTTCATTTTGACATTAGAGCAAGGAATGGAAAAGCTGTATGATACTACATACAAAGTAGACAATTAGCAAGATCCCTCATGCCCTAGAAGGGGGAAGGGATGAAGAGGGTAACAGGTGGTGGCTGAATATGATCTATGTAAAAGGAAATTTCTTTATGAAAACTGCTGCTTTGTACAATGACCATACCCTAAATTTTTAAATCCCTCCTCCTACCAGTGTTTAAAATTGGAACTAAAAGATAAAAGATGCTTGAATCAAAGATGGTAAATACTGAGAATAATAATGCTTAAAAGCAAACAACAACAACAAAAAAATCCAGTTGCAGAGTGTAATAACAGGGCTTCCAGCTCTAATATGAGCCATTAATTATCAAGAAATTCTTCTAACACTAAAAGGCAAGGAAGACTTTTCCTGCTTTATAGATAAGAAAACTAAAGTTTAGGGGGGAGAACAAGGGAATCCGTGGCTGATATGTAGAACTGAATGGTACTGTAAAATAAAATAAAGGGGAAAAAAAAGAAAACTAAAGTTTAAAGGGAGTCAGAGTGCTCACAGTCAGGAAAACAGGCTGGAGGAGCTAGGATCAAGTCAAGTGACTCTGGGACTTGTCTTCAACTACTCTGTCTTTGAGCCAAGACCAAATCTGAGTTCTTCTGCCAGCTCTCACTAAGAATTTATTCAGTCTTCTGTGCACCATCTACTAGACCTGGCGAGGACAGAGCTGGCATATGGTGCCTTCACAAGTATCAACACATAAACTTGAATTTCTGCTGCCTTTTCAAGCTTTTTAAAGTTGAACTCTACAGATTTGAGAACAAGGTAAAGCCAGGAATATCATGTGACAGCCTTATAATCTTCTTTCACTAAGTTCAACTATCAGACTCAACATCAATGCCTCAAATTCTGAGGAAAGAAGTTGGCACTTGTAAACACAAATATATTAGCATGGAAATATTTGCCTCCAGTACTAATTTAAAATCAATTTTTCCTTGGCCCTAGCAATTCAGACAACAGTGAGGGCACTGGCAAGGGGTGTGACTGAGTTCTCAGTTACAGTACAATTATATCAATAATCATAATCCATAAAAAATAAAGCTGGCGAGCTAGCTCAGTAGCTATTGGCACTTGCCACTAAACCTGAGTGAGCACCTGAGTTTGATCTCTGGCACCCACAGGGAGGAAGGAAAGAACTGACTCCCACACATTGTCCCATGACCTTCACAACATGCTCTGGCAAGCTCTGCTCAAACACACACTCACATGCACAGTAATTTTTTTAATCTATAAACATAGCAATATTAGCTACTGATACCCGTTAAAAGATAGTATACATATATATATATATATATATATATATATATATATATATATATATACCACTCTTCCACATTGTACTCTATGTACGACACCTAAACTACATGAATAATTTAAGGCACCATGAAAGAACTCTCAATTAAAAAAAAATGTAGGTCTACCATAGTAAAGTCTAAAAAAGTTCCTCTAACCAAATAAGTGTTAGCTTATTTCTATACTGATTTGACTTGAAAAACATGGAGAACCTAATTGCAGCAAAATATTTAGAACACATATATAAACATGTTAAATCAGAAATCTCCTATGGCAAGAACTTGATTTTTTAAATTTAGAGCAGAAATACACACACATGCACACACGAATAAATGAAGCTGACAATCTGGCATTTCTTGATACATAAAAATTAATAACCTATGAGATACACAGCAACTGATAAAAGCCAATGATGAAAGGAACTAAAACAGGTCACAAATGAAGAATTTTCTAACTATGGTTTAAAAATATTTTAGGTAATTAAATTCTTTAACCAAACAGGAAACTGGCAACTACAACCTTGTCATCCTAGAACCCAATAATCAGAACTATATTTTTCTAGTACAATTAAAAAACATCACTAACAAGAAAGATACATATTAAAGCATATGCATGAAGACAATTGATTAATTACAGATAACTGTGACCTAAATAAAAAGTTCAGCCACTACTGAGATAACATTTGAGAGCCCCCTCCCCTACCATTAGTACTTAAAAGTAATAAAATTGCATTTATTCGAAAGCATATTTGTATTAATTACTTTAGTACTTAAAAGTAATGTTAATGAAAAAAATTAGTTATAATTCATTATGGGCCTATTCCCAGCCAGGACTTGACTGGTACCACAAGGCTTTGGTTTTAGTTGATTTCTAAAGGAGGAACATAACATTCACCTGTGATTGTTATAGTTTAGGCATTATATCTTAAAGAACGTAAACTCCACAAAATATCTTCATTTGTCATTAAAATGTCCAAAAGCTGTTCACAATTATAAACGCCTAAACATATTTTTAAAAGAATCACAAGATCAGACCTAGAGAGAACAAAGGAAACACGAGCAAAGGACGTAAATGGATTTGAGTATGCGCATACACGGTTCTAGCAGAACGAAGTAAAATACGTGACACCTATTGCCCTTTATGCTCCTTGGAGTACCACTGTAGTACTGTTTAGTAGAAGAACCTAATGACGAAGGTTATGTTCGTCACTCTACTTTTAATGTGCTAACCTAGTTTACAAACTGCTGTAATCTAAAGCTAAACACCTTTCAGTAGTCAACTTTTCACTCAACATCACTTACCATTGCCATGTCGGACAGTGGTGGACTAAGTGATCTCCAGCTGCCACAAACTAGTCAGGGTTCGCAAAGAATATGGAAAAAGCAGAAAAGAAACATTGAACATCACTGAGTACAGAGTGGCAAAATACCAAACTCATCACCCTGGGGAACTCTGATACCTAATAATCAATTAAAATGCAAATAGCACAAAACCTGTTTTATCAACCTGAAGATTTATTTCAATTAGTAAACTTAAAGTTTTAGTGTCTATAAAAACTCAAGTTAACTTTGGGAGAAAGAAGAACGTTGTTATCTTTTTGTTTTGCTTTTCAAGACCTGGTTCCTCTGTGTAGTCCTGGCTGTTCCCGAATTCACTTTGTAGACCAGGCTGGCCTATCATCTGCCTCTGCCTCCCAGTGCTGTGCTACCACACTGAGCAAACACTGTTATCTTTAATTCAATTACATGATCAAATCATGCTTCAAACCTGATATGAAATCACTAAAGGGAAGGCAATGAAGTTCAAGTGTCAAGATCCATCGGGCAGTTCAATAAATACTCTTGTTAAGGACTGGAAACTCAAGGAAAACATTTAAATAAATACATACATCTAGGTCTATAATGTCAACCTATTTCATTAAATCATAGTGGAGGTTTCTTCTTCCTCTTTTAATTACTTAATTTTTTTAGAATTATTTTCTAAATGTTTTGCCTGGATGTATGTCTTTGTACTGCATGCATTTCTGGTGTCCACAGAGGTCAGAAAAGGCATCATAGCCCCTGGAACTAGAGTTAGAGATGGTTGTGAGCCACCATGTGGTTGCTAGAAATGGAACTCAGGTTTTCTGCAATACAAGTGAACTTAATAACTGAGGTATCTCTTCAGCACTCTATTATATTTTTAAGAAACATTTTGTTGTTGTTTTTGGTGGTTCTGGGGGGGGGGTCAAACATGGTGCACAAAACTAAGCAAGCATTCTGTGGAACCAGCTATATGCCCCAGCACTAGACCAATATTGAAAGTTTTATTGCACTCTTAAAAGAATTAAGGAGAAAAAGCAATTATAGTAACAAACAATGGGGGAAAGTTAAGTTCCGGACTAACTATGAAAACATCTACAAAATCAGGCTTGGGTTCCAGGCTGGACCCCCAGCACCTCATCCCACCAAGTTGGATGGCACAGGCCTGTTATCACAGCATTCTGAGGTGGAAGTAGGAGGAGCAAAGAGTTCAAGGTCCTCTTCAGCTACCTAGTGAATTCCAGATTAGCCTGGGATACATGAGACCTATCCAAAAACTGCTGAGAGGGAGATATATAGAGGGAAAGGAGGAGAAAGAGAGAAAAGATCTACTTTCTGAGCAGGCTGAACATTATTATAAGCTTTCATTTTTCTTCACAAATAAAAATTAGACCCAGGGAAAAAGAATTTAATATTTGAAGAATTTTCAGTTCTCATAAATATAAGGCAATCTCACTGAAGGATACAAATCTGACTTTTAAAAGCAGAAAACAAGAGTCTGCTAAGCAGAGCTACAGTATAACAACTGCAACGATTTTTTACATGCTTTCCCAATTGCTATTTCACAACAGCTCTAATTTAGAAATCTGTATCATTCATGGGCTTATTATACAGTAAAAAATTAGGATACATTTCATATTCTCAATATCCTTTGAAAAAGTATATCTATCCAAAAGTCTACTTTCATTTGAGAGTAAAATTCAAGCATTAAGCATTCTGAGAATAGTCTACTTTAAGATAATATATCACCAAGGTTAAGATGTGGCAACTTTATTCCCAATATAAACTTTTTTCTTCTTTCATTTAACACATTTTTTAAAATTACTTAAACTAGTTATGTAATGACAGAAGCCAAAATAAAAACAATAGCTTCTCTCTGCCTTCAGTTTCGAGCATTTGAGGGTTACCACAACCAATTATTACTTTTAGCCCTGTGGTTGCCAGGAATTTATCACCACCAAAGTAACAAAGTTAAGAAAATGCAAGCATATATATATAATGGAAATTCTCTGACTATATTGCCTTCAAGTCATTAGACATTAATTTTATTTCATGGTCTTTTGGTAGTAACTATTTAAAAATAACAAAAATATTATGAAATAAAACCAAAAACTGAAACCCACAGAACTGCACCAATAATTAGCACATGTGGATATCCATGCTCATTAGCAATAGCCATTATTACTTGCTTCAAAGAGTCAGGTGAAATAACATGTTAGAGTCAAATTTCAAACTACCAATTGCTTATAGTACCTTTCTCATAGTAGATATTCTCCTGATATTTTTCAATACATAATACAGATTAATACTGTATCCAACAAGATATAATCAATATTTGGATTTTAGCAAACAATATTATTCCTCAACTGACCTTCAATTCATGTTAATACTCTTTAAGTTAGTTACAGCAGCATTTGTTTTTCCACAAAAGATACAGTATTAGACATGGGCTGCCCTCTTTTTAAATGTAAATTCTTCCACATTTCTCAATGAAAACAAAAAGAGAGCTGGAAACTGATGGGTAAGAGCCCAGAAATTAGAAGAAACAAATTAACAGCTCAATTCAGTATGTAGTATTTATCCCAAGCAAATCATACCTTCCCATTGTCTTCCCTCAGGCTCATTTAACTCAATCCTGTAATTATGCTCTATCTGAGCCTAGAATTACATGCTTTGTATCAAATTAAGCTAGTTTTGCCTTAGATTCTTGTAAGGAAAAATTCATACTTCATGCAACTATTACGTTATCCATGTTAGGATGAATTTTTGTTTGAAAACAGTTTAATTCTAGAGAAATGCACCCAACAATGAGTTCTTTTAACACAGCAGAGATAAAGCCGAAGGGTGCAAACACAGCATGTGCTGTCTCTGCTCTTGATTTCAGATGATTCAAAAGCTCTGGCTAGACAATGCCTGTTTGGGAAGAAAATCAATGAGAGCCTTAAGAACAAAACTGACTGAATTGGCATTCAACATATCACACTCATGACATCCAAGGCAAAATAAGTCCTTTCAAAGAATGTCTATTCCAAACCCCTCATTTTACAGATGGGTAAATATGAGGCCTAGACTTAAATAGCTAACTAATCTGTCTAAATTAAGAGAAATTAGACAGTTCTAGAAAGCAGGTTCCCTAGGCTCTCTCTGCACCATCCCATGTCTTTATTAAGAATAAAGGCAGTTTCACAGATAGGTAGGTAGGTAGGTAGATATCAGTACAGCAAGGCACTCTTAGGCCTCAGAATGAACTGGACTGAAGAGGTGGCATGATGACTGAAAAGCGAAAGATCAATTAATTCTCTGGTTTGAAGCCTTTCAAGTTATAGCCACAACCTCATCATACAACACAGTGTATTTTATAATTGTTTTTATCAAAACAAGGAATGTGATCCTATTCCTAACGAATAATATTTTCAGTGAAAGTTAAAGATCAAGTTTAAATAAATCAGTTGCCTTTTATTAATAACAAGTAAGTGTAATGCAACTGTAACTATTCATAAAACTGAACTGTCTGGGATAAGTTTCTCTAGGGATAAACTACCTAAATGACTGAGAACTCATAATACAGACTTGGTGAACGAGTGAAATGATTCCTCAAAACATTATTCTATGCAAAAAAGTTTAAAAAGTATAGTGAGCAGGTAAAATCCCCATATTTCTAGAATTACTTCCCCTTCAACATAACTTGTTTAGCAAACAAAGTAAAAGCATGGTAAAATAAAATCAGTGTCAACTATGTAACAGTTACACTGAAAGTTAGGAAAAAAAGCGCTAGCAAGGTTTCCGACACATCATAAAATATACATTTGCTGTAAACAGAGCCAAGACATCAAATTCCACAGCCCCGCTGCAGGGCACATCCTCATATAGCAGTAAAGGATAAGGGAACACAATATTTTTTCCACTCCCCTTCACAACCTTTATTTCTTCCACTACAGAGAAATATGAGAAGCAGCAAAATGAAAAGATGTTATATTTTATCTGCTAAGGGAAGTAGAGACTCTCTTAACCTAATTATTAGAGTTACCTAATCTAATTTTTCTCAAAAATTGCTTTCTAACAGAAGAAAAGGCACTAGTCAAAAAGGACTGTAAAGCTATAAAGGCTTCCGGGTGTCTTCAATGCTCACCTCTTCTGGGGTGAGTACACCTGTCTCCTTAAATTTTGATTCCTGAAGAGAACAAAAAGAATAAAAGTATTAGACCATCTTCACATTCAACTAAAAAAGTGTCCTGAAGGCAAATAGTTGCCGCTCCTGGACAAGAGTATGCTATGAAACAAACAAAACACTAAAACCTAAATATGCTAGGTAAAATAGCAGTGGTCCTTGATTACACAGATACACAGGTATAATGTAGATGAGTTACAGGAAATGACTTGCAGGACAATTCGATCAGTACCACAGTAAAACATGAGTGTTAAAAAGCATGCTAATACAGCCGGGCGGTGGTGGCGCACGCCTTTAATCCCAGCACTCGGGAGGCAGAGCCAGGCGGATCTCTGTGAGTTCGAGGCCAGCCTGGGCTACCAAGTGAGCTCCAGGAAAGGCGCAAAGCTACGCAGAGAAACCCTGTCTCGAAAAACCAAAAAAAAAAAAAAAAAAAAAAAGCATGCTAATACTTAGATTACAGTGACCCTGCACAGTGAATGAGTCATTTTGCAGCACTTTCACATAGCCAATGTTTTATTTAAACTGAGTAATATTAGAAACCAACAGCAGAAATCATTTAATATTTAATATTTCCCATTATTCTCATCTCCACCATAATTTTTTCTTTCTTTTTCTTTTGATTTTTTCTTCCTGTGGACTAAGTTTTATTATGCAGGCCAAGCTAGCATGTAACTCAAAATCCTTCTGCCTCAGTTTCCAGAACACTGGAATTCTAGTCAATGTGTTCACAACCACCATGCCCAGCTTCACTAAAATTTTAAAACAGTATTTTCTCCTCTAAAGCAAGAATGCTATTAATTTTTGTTCTACATTTTCACTTGTAAGATTTTGTGCTAGTCTACAAAAGTAAAGGTTCCATTTGTGAATATTAGTTAGCCCACAAATTATTTATCACTATATGCCAATACTCTTGGAGACAATGGGCTGCATGCCTGAAAAACAGATCAATCTTGTCTTCACACCATGAAGAAAAAAAATAGTTATGTAGGGGAGAGGTGGTGTTAAAATAAAATAACTCTTCAGCTAATGGTTCAACTTAGCTGGGATTTGATTGGCTTGATCTTGCAGAGGTAATCAATGCCACTCTGCGTTTGAGTGCATCAGTCTTCTAACTCCAAAAGGTACTTTGAAAGCAGACCTCCCAACTTCTGGCAGTTGATGGCTGCTAGGGGAAGATAAGTCCTATTTTCTTCAAGGTGTGGCCCCTGGTAGGTTGTCTATGCTCCAATGGATGGCCATATACCCACACACATACAGGCAGCAGTAACTCGGCTCAGTGGGTTAAAAACTGAAACATGAAGTTGGTAGAGGTATATGCTGGGGGTGATCTGGGAGGAATTGGAAAAGGGTGAGGGGCAGATATGATCAAAATATATTGTACACATGTATGAAATTCCCAAGGAATAAATACAAAATATAAATAAATAAAGGTTAGACAAAGGACCAAACTATAAGGCTGCTCAGGGAAAAAGCATTACTGCCTGAGGGGGGGGGAAATACAAGATTCTAGTAGCAAGATTCCTCTTGCTGAAGTCCTGAGGAGGCGATAAGGTTGGCTTATGGCGAAGTTCTCAAGCGAACAAGAGACTGGGACTTCCAGTGGCCAAAGAGACCCTTCAAGAGCACTCTAAGGATTTTGGCTTTACTACACAGATGCCATCTAAACAAACATGCCTTCCCAAACTTTCACTTCCTAAGAAAAGGCCATCATCTTTCTGGACAGTCCTTTGTTTTTTCCTTTGCCTTCCTTCATCTAGAAGGAATCTGTAAGGATTCTCTCTGCAAACCAGGAGTGACAAGCAGAGGGCCACTAATTATGTGTTCTTTTATACTAAAAACATATGCCACACATTGCCTCCGAGCTTATACTAAAAACATATGCCACACATTGCCTGCCTTCGAGCATGGTGGCAAATGCCTTTTATCTCAGCACTTGGGAGGCAGAGGCAGGTGGATTTCTAAGAATTCAAGGTTAGCCTGGGTTACATGGTGAGTTCCAGACCCAGCTAAGTCTACAGAGTGAGACCCTGTCTCAATAATTAAACATAAAAATATATACCATACATACTGATTTCCTAATATTCCTTTCAGATTGGTGAAGAGAACAAAGAATTCCTCAAAAGAGTTCTACATCACAAGTGCCATAAAATCCACGGGGTCTACAAGATAGTCATTTTATATTTAATTGGGAAGTGTTTTGTTCATCTCTCCCTTAAACTAAAAGTTGACTAAATGGTGGACTATTAGAATACTGTCTACCTAGGCAATATGATATTCTGAAAACATTATAACATGCAATAGAAGTATTTGATTTCAATGTCGAAATTATTTTCAATTTCTAAATAGATGAGTAATCTTAACTAAAATGACTTTCAGAATAAACATGTAAACAAGAGTTAAGATTCTCATTTACAAGTGTTGCAGACTTTTTTTTACTTGATCCAAAAAGGTATCATTTTCAAAGGTGTCTTAGAAATAAGGACTGAAAAGAGAAGATAAAGAGATCAGTTTGCTCCGCCTGTCTGCATATTTCTTGCTTGCAGTAAGATTGGTAAAATTCTTACAGAAAGCTAAATACATAACGAAAACAAAAACTAAGCAAATATCTGCCACTCGTTTACAATTACTGCTTGCTTTTCGCCAAGGCAAAATCAAGATCAAACAAAAAAAGATGTATCCTAGAAGTTGTAAGGAAACCTGGAACGCAGCTCTGGAAATTTACTTTTGAAAGATGACGTCTCACGACTTTCATCTGAAAAGGTTATACTGTTTCCAGTCTATACACACACACATCTAGGTGAACTGCTGCCTTAGGATCCTTCAAATCCAAGATTAAGAATCAGTTGCGGCTACTCTCAAAGCTTGGGAAGCCAGAAGTTTCGCCTAGTTCCGCTCAGAGTTACTAACGTGTTACAATTTACTACGTTCCTCTGACACCAAAAGAAATCCAGATCACGGGGTAATCAAAACTTCCTATGAAACTTGGAAGAAAAAGTGGCACGCCGTTAGCCACCAAGCTGACATCGCAACCCAGATACCTGTTTTAAAAGACTATGGATGTCAGGATTCAGTGTTCCTATCTCTGCTCCACACCACCTCTTCTCGCACTCCAACGCAAACGAGGAATGACCCGTGGAGACAGCAGGCACCAGGGGAAGCCGGGGGGAGCCATCAAACCTTGGGACCGGCCCAGAAGCCCAGGGCAAAGGGGCAGCAGCCCACGGCGGCCAGTTCCGCCCCTCCCTCCACCGTCTCTCCCCAGCGGTCCACGCTGGGGACCCGGACTGGGACGCTCAGTGCAGAACCCGCCCCGCTTACCTTGAGGACCGGGGTCAGGTACTCGGCCACTTCCAGAGCCTTTCCCTTCACCGTGTTGATCACATTCTGCATCCTGGGGCTGGAGCAGCGATGGGGCAGGGAGGGGGAAAGACAGTCGCGATCCGGGTCGGGGGACTCAAAAACCTGCCCGGGACGTGGCCGACTGGCATCGAGCCCCGCAGGCGGCACCCGCAGCGCCGGGGCGGGG